TCTCTCTCTCTCTCTCTCTCTCTCTCTCTCTCTCTCTCTCTCCCTCTCTCTATCTCTCTCCCTCTCCCCTCTCCTCTCCCTCTCCCTCTCTCTTCTCTCTCTCTCTCTCTCTCTCTCTCTCTCTCTCTCTCTCTCTCTCTCCTCTCTCCCCTCTCCCTCTCCCTCTCCCTCTCCCTCTCTCTCTCTCTCTCTCTTTCTCTCTCTCTCTCTCTCTCTCTTCTCTCTCTCTCTCTCTCTCTCTCTCTCTCCTCTCTCTCTCTCTCTCTCTCTCCTCCCTCCCTCCCCCCCTCTCTCTCTCTCTCTCTCTCTCTCTCTCTCTCTCTCTCTCTCTCTCTCTCTCTCTCTCTCTCTCTCCTCTCTCTCTCTCTCTTTCTCTCTCCCCCCTCTCTCTCTCTGTTATTATGTAAAGATGAAAGTATGTGCTACGCAATGCTACCCTGATTTCCTGCTATTTACTTTAGGACACTACGTTTAAACCTAGATTTGGTTATATGAACGATCGCTTTAAGTGCCGAGTACAATATGCAACTGCACGTCTGCATATATCGACTTTGATCGACTGTTTGAACACGCCTGGTGACTGGCGCGTTGTGGGATCGATTTTGAGTCCGCCCGACCCGACTTTTACTGTTTCGTTTTCTCTTGCGCCTTTCTTTATTCTTATCTTTGATACTTTCTGCTTTCTCTTGGTATGAACTGTCGTTTTAGTATAAACAACAATACTACTTCGATAGTTCGATATTGTCAAATTTTATGGGATATATGCCTTAAGTTTAGCTTGGATGGAGCATTAAAACCTGTAACAGTGACATGAAAGAAATTATAAAATCAACATTCATTGTGTGTAGTTACTTGCATGAAGCCATAAACTATGATTCGGATCTAAATGAAAACTAGAATTACTGACGAGTCGAATTAACGCAGGAAAGGAATTTCGCCTTCCTGTGTTCGCATATGAATTTCCCGCTTCCGGTACCGTACCGTCCAAGTAATCCATTTCCTTTGTTTTTGTTTCCTTCGACTTCCCTCAGCCTAGAAGACGCTCGACTTACCCCGTGACTTACATATCCACCACCATTATCCTTTTCATTCATACTTTCACATATCAAAACAAGAACAAAAACAAACCACCCTTCCTCCTCTCCCTACCCCTCTAAAACAAGAAAAAGAACATAATCAACACGAAGACAAAGCGAGGAAAATTCCCTGCCATGTTTTCGGCCGCTGTTCCTACGTGTTCTCTCTAAATCTACCAAGGCATGAGATTGGTGGCGGGCCAGGGCGGCGGAATCCGCTGCGCTTCCTGCCGCTCGCTGCCTGTTCCCGCCTTTCGTCGCTCGGGCGGACTCTGTCGTCGTCGTCGTTGTTCTTCGACTGTTATTATTAATATTGTAGTAGTTGTTATCGATCTGATCAGATCACTGATATTATCGCCATTATCGTTATTGTTATTATTTTTGCTTTTAATAGTACAATCACCCACGTTGTGATTATCATTATCATTGTTTCACATTAATTATCACTGATGTTTTATCATCATTCATTTTTAGTTACTATTATTATTATTATTATAAGTAGTAGTAGTAGTAGTAGTAGTAGAACTAACAGTAGCAGTAGTAGTTAGAGTGGTAATATTAATATTAGTAATAGTATGATTCATATTAAACTCATTATTGTCGTTGGTTGTTTTGCTATTGTTGTTATAATCATCATTAGTGTTATTACTGCTAGTATTTCTAACATTGTTTATACTGTAACTATAGTCATTATCATCGTTATCACAAATGTTAACAATTTTATCAATACTGATATTCTGCTGATACTGATAGTATATCGCCGTCACAAAAAAATGAGCTGAGCAAATTGTCATGTCTGACTATAAAGTCATTCTCAAGAAAATAAAGAATAAAAAGCACTTTCTATTTAACAATTGTCTTTCTTTACTTCCTTGCTTGTGTGTGTGTTTTGTGTGTCTTTGCATACATTTTTTTCACCAAAATGTAAACAATTTAGACAAAACAAGGTACAGAACAAAACCCTGAGGAACAAGCTATGCAGTACAACATTTCAGTCAAAAGGAGGGAAAATGCAAGGTCATTGATTACAAAAAGAGAAAGACATTAGCGATTAAAAGATGATGCCGATGAAAAGAGGGTCGGTCGGACGAAGTACAAACACAAACACACACACACACGCACAAATATATATACAAATACCTTATTGTTTTTTTTTTTTTTTCATATCCTGGTCAATCCTGTAATCCCTCGTCTTGCCTCTAGTCATTTTAGTTCCGTGTTCGGCTCCCCCCCTATATATATATATATATATATATATAT